CTCCGTACCCCCATTCCCCCCCCCCCCATCCGCCCTTGATCGTCGCCTTATAGCCATTGTTGTATGTCTACATTGATGTTTGCAGACTTCATCACTCTTCTTAACATACGCCATCTTTAAAATTTTCTCTTATTGCGTGTGTTAGATCTTCGTACAAAACTACGAAGCTAAACTCTCTCTCGGTCTAATGTCGCGAATATTCTAGCATATAACAAATATGATGATCTAACATAAATGTAAAGGCACAAACTCTTCATTTTAATTTCTTCAACCAAAATTAAAAAAAAAATTACATTTTATTTATTTTTAAATTTAATAACTGATTTAAGATCTTTGTATCTTAATAAGGATAATATATTTTTTAATTTTTTTTAACCTTTATGCAATATTTAAAATATATACATCTTATTTATTTATAAGTTATTAGACTCCCCATGTGCAAAGCATCGCGCCCCATAACGAAGGCGTTGGAGTACGGTGGCCATCTCTTTCTCCGTTTGTTGCATCTTTCCCATTTTGCCCTTCCTCACACACAATAATTACAGAATGAGCCCAATGCTTTCTTTTTCTTTTTATTTGTTTATTTTTCTCGACAGTTTCTTTTCTACAGAATAAAAAAAAATAAAAAATCATGAGAGAGTTCTTTCCGTTATGTCCTAAATCTTAGTAAAAATTATATTATCATCCCATTCGCAGCAAAATGTCGTTATTACAGATCTACCCATGACGGGCATCTTCAAATAAGTTGAAGGGTTTCTCGGCGAGGAGGGTTTTGCACGGAGATGGAGAGGAAGCAAGGGTTCTTATCGGCGCTACGGGAGCTATCGCCGGGGAGGTCGAGGTCATATGGTCTGGCGATTGGCGGGGTGATCATGCCTCGCCGGAAGAACTGGCTGGAGCCGCCGCCGGTGGTGAGATCCGGTGGGGAAGCGTTGGCGCCGCTTATGGAGGGGCCGGATCCCGGCGATGGAGGTGGCGGAGGCTGTGGAGAGGGGAGGAGGGACGGTTGGGGGCAGTGGATGCGGACGCAGCTCTCCAAGGCGCCGGTGGCCAGCGGTGGCCACCGGCGGTCGGACCTTAGACTGCTGCTTGGAGTCATGGGTGCTCCCCTTGCCCCCGTTCACGTCTGCTTCGGTGAACCTCTTCCGCATTTAAGCATCAAGGATACTCCTATTGTGAGTGCTGGTCTTTTTGTATTTTGCATGTGAGAATTCAGTGGAATTCCTAACTTCTACGCATTTTTAATAGCTTTTAATCGTAATCAACCGCTTTAATTCTTGGTTGTTGGGTTGATCGTTAAATTTCGAAGCATTTGGGTCCGTTAGGTTGTCAATCTTCCCTCCTGGGTGGCTGTTGTGGGTCTGCATTTATTATTTTAGGAGAATTTGGTGTAAATATAATGTGTTTTTGTTCTAATAATGATAGCACCAATCTGAACATTTTTAATACTGCTATTTCGTCACTGTGAGATCTCACTTCTGCATCACTAACAACCAGCTGCTTTGTTCAATTTCACTAATTCCTCGTCTTTCATGTCGCAGGAAACTTCTTCTGCACAATATATACTACAACAGTACACTGCAGCATCTGGAGGAATTAAGCTTTTGAGCTCTATTCATAATTCTTATGTCATGGGGAAGATGAAGATGGTGGCATCTGAATTTGAGACATCGACAAGGGTGATGAAGAATCGAAATGCTTCAAGAGATGCAGAATCTGGTGGTTTTGTGCTTTGGCTAATGGCTCCTGAGATGTGGTATGTTGAGCTTGCAGTTGGAACCAGTAAGATCCATGCAGGATGCAACGGCAAGATAGTTTGGAGGCACACTCCCTGGCTCGGTGCTCATGCTGCCAAGGGTCCTGTTCGTCCTCTCCGTCGAGTTCTTCAGGTATATAAATCATCTAAAACTTTAAAATCCCCTTAAAATTTCCTTGCTTTGGTTGTTCATTGAAACCTGTGTGCTATATATAATTATGAATTTAATAAAAATCATTGCAATTATAGTTTTCTTTTAGCAATTTCACCAGTTATCAATATAATTCTCATATCATGTATGAAATGAAGAATTTTTTTGTTTAATTTGACAATTTTCTTTGTAGGGTCTTGATCCATTGACCACAGCTAGTATGTTTGCTAATGCACAATGTATTGGAGAGAAGACAATAAGTGGAGAGGATTGCTTCATACTTAAGCTATTTGCTGATCCACAGACACTGAAGGCAAGGAGTGAGGGGCCTTCAGAGATTATAAGGCATGTTATGTTTGGATATTTCAGTCAGAAAACTGGGCTTCTGATACACATGGAGGATTCACATCTAACTCGAATCCAGTCAAGTTCTGGTGGCGAGGCAGTGTATTGGGAGACTACCATTAGTTCATTCCTGGACGATTATCGTGCAGTTGAGGGCGTTATGATCGCTCATTGTGGTCGATCAATTGTCACTCTTTTCAGGTTTGGAGAGATGGCGATGAGTCACACGAAGACGAGGATGGAAGAAGAATGGACGATCGAGGAAGTGGCTTTCAATGTTCCCGGTCTTTCCATCGATTGCTTCATTCCGCCCGCGGATTTGAAGTGCAATTCGGTTAGTGAAACCTGCGAGCTATCGCAGAGGGAGCGGGGTAAGAGTTCTGTGCTTAGTTTTAATCGATCTAAGGTTGCAGCTGTAGAGAAGAAACAACAACATAACATCACTGATACTGTCCTGGGTATAATGTAGGACATGAATTCATTAAATTGTTTATATTCCTATTTTCCTATATCACTAACTATCATGACAGATTAGGGTTCTAGAATCTCAAAACTGAGTCCAGTTGGTTTGGAATTTTTCTTTGTGGTCTGTAAATAGGAGCATTGAGTATTCTCAGTGCTGTCTACTTGTTCATGGGAGGATTAGTTTTCAGTTTTCACCTCACTTCAATGGGATGAAGGGGGGAGTTTGATCCATTATGATTGGCCTATCAATTTGTTTTTGTTATTTTGATTTTATTTTATCTCTTTTTTGTAATATTTAATTGTTGATAGTTTTGGATTCAAAGGCTGAGGTTCAGGATTTGCCAGGTTTTCTCTCATCAACAAGCCATTGGCTTTTTCTGATCTGGTTTTGGGGCTTTGGACTAAATGTCTACTCTGCAAAAATTCTTGTAATAGAAACTCATCTTTTCATGAGATATTACTGATTTGTCTACAAATGTTTGCCTTTCAATTTCCATATTTTGGCTATTTATTGATGCTTAGATTGTATATTTGATGTTCATCTCATTATTTAATATGTTTTAGTATAGTTCCTCCTTACTTTACAGCTTCTTCACAGCATTGGATACTGGAAAAGGTACCAGGTAAGATGGTGATGTATTTGTTGTCTGGTTGTACACCTTTCATATTGTTTTGTCCCCTTACATAACATAATTATCTCCATGGCTGCTTGGCTATAAGTTCTATTTAGTAAATTTTGGAGACATTAAGGCTTCGTTTGCGACGGACGGCTTTTTTACTGCTTTCTAGTAGAAAATTTTTGTACTAGAAAGCTGCTTTAGAATCGTTTGGGATAGCGTTTGATCACTATTTTTTCGCTTCTTTCTTCATAAAACGGTAAGAAAATTATCCCCAAAAAGGCGTAAATTATAAAAACTATTTAGTAATATTTAGCCTAAATATTACAACCAAAGAGCTTTGTAGTGGAGAAATTATTCTTTGCGGACACCGGATGATGTCCAGAGACCAATAAAAATGCATCACATCACTCTTTTAATGTATCGCTGCTCGGTACTTGGTATCAGTACCCACACTTAACACTGCTCGGTACCGCGACATCCAGATGTAAAGTTGCGTCCGGCATTAATTTCTCTTTGCAGTGAGTGTGAACATTACTTGATATGTGACCAAATGCTGGAAGAGATATTGGGCATGTGAAAGGAATAATCAAAGGAAGGCTTCTATGTGTTTTCCAGTCACAATCATTGCAGGCTGTCTTCCTCTTCTTATTCCTTTTATTTTTGGCTTCTGGATTTCATACTTTTACATACTTTGTCAGGAATTGTCACTATAAAGGGTGAGTGTGGTCCTTTTTTTCATGCCACTAAGAAGCTTCCATTTACCTCTTTCAACTTCAGTTGATGGCCATATTTCATCTTTTCAAGAGCAACAGAGCTTCTTGGAACAAAAGCTTCACAGTCAATGCCTTCATTTAAGATTTTTTTTTTTTGTGAAATAATTTAATTATTATTAATTGATTATATTCAAATTTTTAACCAAACATATAATATTTTTTATATTATTTTAAAAACAATATTATATATAATGTAATTATTTTTAATATTGATTTTTATTTCAGTTTCAATAAAATATTATTAAAAATGAAGTCCTATCTATGCAATAATCTGAAAAAAGAAAAAAATATATATAAATGTCCATTTTTATGTCTAAGAAGAAACTTTAGAAATTTAATGCAATAATAATTCTAAGTAAAATTTATAGTAAAAATTGGAAAACATCATAAATGCATCTGGCCTTTTTGATGACCATCCAAAGCATCTACAGCTACCAATTTTTTTTTAATTAAATAATCGAGAGAAGAGACTCTAACTGTATTAAAAATAGAAAAATTATTACATATAAAATTCTGAATTATCAGCCTGCAAAAACTTTAAAAAGCGGTAAGAAAATTGTGTCAAACGAAATCTAAGTCTTTTATATAGTCGATGACCATTTTGATTATTCATGAAGAGTCAATGGACCATTTTGATTCTGATCTGTAATAATTATTAATTAGTAAGCATTAAATTTTACAACTTTATTAATATATATTATTAGTTTAATTAAAAATATGAATTAACCAAATTTTTTTACTTACAATTTCAGGAAATTATTGCAGATGTAATTAATGTACAGCTTGAATATGGCAGTCAACCTCAGCAGGAGCTTGGGCATTAAAGGCTTTAGTCCCCACTGCACAAGCTGTGTAGTTGCATGTGAGCTTCCAACATTCTTTGTTTCCATTAAAGACATTCCTTTCTACTCTTCTCCTCAACAATAAATCAAAATATTCAGATAATAATTAGCTTTCAAAAAAAGTTTTTTTTTTTTTTTGCCTTTATGATAGTAGCAATTAATGACATTGGCATTATTCTCGCCATATGCTACCTTCAAACTTTCATGAAAAATATAATTTTCTTCATTGAGTTTAATTTTTATTTTTGATAGTTTGGCAATTAGAGAGAGAGAGAGAGGGAGAGAGATTCATTCTCTTAGATGAGTAAATATTAGGCTACAAGTTAAGCAGGTGCATGGTTATGTTTGAGCGCGTTTACTATCAGCTTGTTCAAGTTCGATTTCAGCTGTGTTAAAGCTTGATTTGTTTAAAATGTTCGAGTTTGATTCATTTTGTGCTTATAGAGCTTTAAGCAAATGAGTATTATCAAGCTATAAACAAGCTTTATTTTTTAGATGTTCTTTAGCTTAACAGATGAGCCATGTTGAACATACTAACAGAAAATTATCATAGATCGAGCATATTTGTGAATATATCTAACAGTGTTTTACAGCTACCAACGATCTTGTTCTCGAATGTATCGAGTGAGTATTTTTAAGCTACTAAAGGAGTCCGATCATGAACAAACTAGTTTAGAAAATGATTCTTTATATAAATAAATTTGTTCATAAACACTGTAAATAAGCAATCTAGTGAACAAGAACAAATACCTCTTGTTCATAAATAAATTCATTCTAATGAAATGATATGACATAAAAATTGAAATTAATATTTCATAAAAATAAAATTATTTTATTAAAATAAAATTAAAAATTATGATAAAATATATCAAATAAAGATTTAAGCTAATCATAAAAATGTATTTATTTCCAAACAAAAATGAATCAAGCTTTTTAATGAGCTTTTTTCTTGAGCTTGTTCATGAACTTTAAATAATAGTTTTCATAAACAAAAAATGAGCTGAATACATTGTTGTTCAAGCTTGTTTACTACCGAGTATTTAAAAAATATTCAAACTTGTTTGATTACTTAATCAAATGATCGCAAATGATATATAATTGAACCGAATCACGAGTAGCTTATCTAACACTTGGTTCATTTATAGTCCTAGTAAATAATTTGAACATATCACACATAATGTGTATGGATTCATATCATGAGCAAGATCCTTCGAAGGCCCAGACAGACAACCATGAGTTTGCTTAAGCAGGCCTTAGTTGGGCCGTGTTTAGATGGCCCATAAACTGATTGCTGTGAAAAATCTTGTTCCCAGCCCAGAACTTTCATTCGTCTAAGCAATACCTTTAGCCCATAGAGCATTTAAACGGGCTGTAGTGGCTTGGATGGGCTAACACATAGTTTTTTTTTTTGTCCTTTTATGAGTTGGTTTTAGACGGGCTATTTCGTAAATGGCATAGTTATTAAAAGCTCACAGATGATTGAAATTCGAGATAAAATTTGAAGAAAATATAAACTTCAAACTTGTCACAATAATGAGTAGAGTAAATTAAGGTGAAATAAATGATATAATAATAAATTATTTGATTTGTGTTAGTTTTGTGTGGAATCTATCATGCTGATCAATCGAGTTGTGCTACAGCCTCAAACCTCAATTCAACTGGTCGAGCTCGTCGGAGATCCTCCTCCTGATTGGGTTTTAGGTGCTTTGTATATGAATTTTTTTGGTACAGTCATACAACGTTGTGTACCCGAACATTGTAAAGTTGTATAATTTGCTTGGAGATAGACATAGGGTAGAGCATTGTGGTGTTCCAAACCCCGGAGCCGCATCACTCCAGATCCTGACATTGCGGTGCTGTTAGACAGACATGATACAGAGAGTTGAACTCGGTGGTGCTCTAAGCTTGGCGCTGCAGTATGAGGTGGGCTATGTAGTTTTTTTTTTCTACTTTTTCATGAGGGTTGCGCCTTTTGGTAATTTAATTTATATTTCTCTTTGTTTATTTTTAAAAGAATAGTACAACAAAGAAGGAGACAAGGAGAGAGTCAGAAAGAAGAGAGATCTATACTATTTCTCCAAAAAATTTATAGTAAATTTTTTGGCATGGTGTGGCTCTGTGATTTTTTCTGGTTTCAAGTTTTTCCAAATTAAATAATAGTGCTCTTTATTTCCGCTGCACTTTCTCATTCTTGTTTGTGTATGCTACGTAGTGGTTTATTTCCTCAACAATTTGTAGCTTCATATGTTTGGAAATTTTTATATATGGGCCTATATATTTATACATATAAATAAAATATTATACATTAGACTCTAGCTAACATTGAGCCAATTAAATTTGTGATATATTTAAGGATTAAATTATTTTGGGTTTATGTGGCATCTCAATTAAATTTGTATGGAAATAATTATTTGTGTAGAGACAAAGTATTTGTTTTATTTTAATGATCGGCTGAAATAAAAATAAATATACTTGAAGTATAAAAAGGTCATGATCCTCAGTTTAAGTGGTAAAGTTCTCATTTCCCTCATTTCTCATCTTGAGTGAAAAGAAGAGGTCTCTCATCTCTTGGAGAACGCCGCTTCAAACGTGAAAGATCGAAGACATCACTTCTGCATTTTATTAAATTCAGGTACGCTTCAAATAATTTTTCTCGATGATTTGACATGTCTTTCATAAACGATGAAATTATTTTTCCGTCTCATTTAAATCATAACATCATATTATTTCATTTCTTATGTGGCACGAACTCTTTTGTCACACCATTGGCTATGTGTCATCCAATATAATAGAGATTAAAAAAAAAAAAAAAACTTTATCAATTTGATAGCCCCATATAACCATCAAGAGTAGCCTCACCTTATTTGTTTTATCTTGGTTGATATTATGTAGAAATGATCAGCCCTCTAAATGGGAAGTAACATTGAATCATTTAATATAAGGATAAGTGGTCTGCCCCTTCTATATGGGATCTAGCATGTCTGACAAATTCAAGGGCTTATCTATATAGTTGATAAGTCACAAAAAGTTGGCTTGACGGAGTATGAATCTCGAGGTATATTTCAATTGAAAACTTTTAAAATTAAATACGGGGCCATCTGAACTCTGATCGCAACAAAGTTAAAGTGAAATTAAACGTCCCGGCAAGAGGAACCCAACAACATCAAAAATGGTTTAATTCAAGCTCAAATGCACCTCAATCAATAGCCTAAAGCATATTTGATAGTTTTAGAATATTAATTAGGTGACTAAATG